TTCCCGCTTCAATGCCTCAATGCGGGGGTGTGTGCTGCTTGTGCCGGACGGAAATCTCCAAGACGAGCCGTACCCGAAAGTTAGATACTTGACCAGAGTATCTGATCCAAGACCTATCCAATCGCTGCCCTTGTCGCCCCTGGATGGGGAGTTGTCAGCGCTACTTTGGCGTGTCCCTTGTCCGGCCTCCTGCGTAGCTTTCGATGTTCCTACTACGAGAGGAGGGGGTATCCCTGGGGCAAAGCTGCGTTTTGTCTTCGTGAATTGGGATTTGTCGGTACGGCTAGCTGAGAGAGATTTCGCAGCTGATCGACCACGGTGTCCCCTTCGGCGTTTTCGCCGTCGCGGTGACGTCGGGTCCTCACCCACCCCATACGCATCATAGCCATATCTGAAGATCCATTCCATCCACTGAGAGACCTGTACCAGAGAAGACCTCGAGATGTTGCCGGCTCCGGAGAATATGACACCATCTGATGGACGAGGGTAGACGTCCGAACCAAGCCAACTTCCCTGATTTTCGCCTGCGTCAGCAGGATCTTCAGATCTCTTTGTCGTTGCTAAATCCTCCGCCGCGGAAGGAGGATCGCCGAATCGGGAGACGACTAGATCCACTAGGCCGTCTGTTCTGAGTACATAGTCCTCAAGGACCTCTCTCTCCCCGCTTCCCCATTCTTCCTCGCCCACTCCGATGCCAAGCTCGCCGCCAGCAGAGAGCTTTATGCCGTTATATAATTCAACGGTGGGGTTCCCGGTCAGGAGAATGTCCCAGCTCCATGCAAATTTGCTCCAAAAGCGCTCAAGAAAAGTGCAAAACGAGGACCTTCCAACGCGGTCGTACAGACGCTGAAGCGTAAGCTCATGATGAAGGAGGAATAAGGAATGAGCCCGGCATAGCTGTTGTTTCAAAAGTTGCGGCGGACAAATCTCTCTCGAGGAGTAATAGAAAGGAGAAGCACCGGATGTATCTTGCTGGGAGGCGGCGCCACTTGCTGAATCATTGGGAAGCCTAGTGAGATCTATTGACTGTGATAACATCGTCAGCGATCACCTCAGAAATGCCCCGCGACGCCATACTTACTGCTAGTATCCACCAATTTTCCTCCAACTCATGTAGTATGACGGTAGATTTTTCTGTCTCCACATACTCGACCGATTTACCCTCGGAAAAATTCCTGGAGTACCATCTCAGCTTCATTCAGCCTCTGAAAACGTTGTGATTCGAACCTGGCGAAGCTGACCATTCCCTGCGCCAGTCCTATCTGGCGCAGCCTCTCATTTTGCCCCTCAGTAAGCTTTGCATCATCGTTACCGAGAACCGATCGTTCATTTCGTCGTGATCGCTCTGTTCTGGAGGTGTAAAAAACAACCTGATCGCCGATACTTTCGTCTGTCGGTCCGAGGAGGGGGTTGTATATCGCAAGAAATGAGAGCTGCGCGGGAACCACTGAAGTCAATTCGCTATCTGGCATCGCATGTCCAGATCATGCCACTGCTCATCACAGAGATGTGGCACACTTGAGCACGACTATGTCGTTGGAAGACGAGCTGCGCTGATCAGATGGCCATGTTGACATGGTGACATCACGTGGCTGAGCATCGGGAAAGCTTCCGCGGAGCTTCACTTCAAGACCGCGACAGCCAAATAACAAATACAGAACCCGTCTCACGAGGACATGGGCAGGTTCAGACCATGGTTCATATCATGAGAGCTGGAGCTCTCTGCCGCCATAGAAGCGCTTTCTCAAAGCCCAGCTTTGGATATCGATTCCTTGCGACGAAAACATACGACCCTCTCCGTATCCTCTTTTGCGGAGCTGACGAGTTCAGCATAGCTTCCTTGAAAGCTCTACATGAAGAACATGTCAAACGCCCAGATCGAATATCGTCAATTGACGTTGTTTGCAGACCTGGAAAAAGAGTAGGGAGGGGTTTGAAGAAAATACGGGAGGGTACTCTATCCACTTTCAAGGATTAATATGCTTGGAATTATGCTCACTCATTTTCTCTGGTCAATAGTCCCTATCAAGGCGGTCGCATCAGAACTTTCACTCCCAATTCACGAGATAGACACATTCAAAGGCTGGGCGGTAGATTATAGTCCTCGCCGCCTTGGTAGACTTGCGTACTGATGCTGTTAGCCCCCAATACTGCCCGGAGGTCCCATCAATCTGATAGTGGCTGTGTCCTTTGGCTTATTCGTGCCTCCCCGAATCCTCAATGCCGCCAAATACGGTGGATTGAATGTTCATCCATCTCTGCTTCCCGAGTACGCCCCTCAAGATCCTAAGCAGTTCCTCAAGAGGGTTCGTCTAACGGACGAATGTCTAGTTTCCGTGGTCCCGCCCCGCTACACCATACTCTTCTAGCAGGGAGAACGAAAACCGGCGTTACGCTTCAAACCCTACATGTCAAGCATTTCGATCACGGCGTCATCCTCCAGCAGACTCCAGCCCCCGGTTTTGAGATACCGAATCCTGACACATGCACCGTTCCGGAGCTTCTAAACATCGTTGCCCCTAAGGGAGCGGAGATCCTCTTGGATGGTATTCGCAAAGGATTGTTCGTCCCTCCCATAGAAGACGCAGGCTGGCGGGCATCACAGGGCGATGAGCCATTAATTCATGCGGCGAAGATCAAGCCAGAGGATCGACACATAGACTGGGTCAACTGGACATGGAAGGACATCAACAGGCGGAATCGCGTGCTCGGTCCGCTCTGGAGCAAAACCCTCGCGGTTAGCGATCCTACTTCGGGAAATCCTTTGTTCCAACAGCGCCGAGTGATCTTGAGCGAGATGGAGGAAGTAGATACGCTAAAGGGCTGCGAGGCATTCTCTCTTATTCCCGGTTTGCCTTTTGTGGATAGCGCACATCCGATTGATCGCCAACAAGGGAAGGGGCTGTACGTGTTCACAAGAGATGGCAAACTGATTCAGATTCATCAAATGAAGGTCGAAGGAGAACAGAATGCAGATGGTGTTCGCGCCGCGCTCAAAGCTCGGATGCTTAGCGATCGAACCTTTCACTCTGGCGCTGCCGACTTCACTCCTTTTCATAATCCTTTGCAATGAGCAAAAAAAGGGCCAGCATCGTCGTTTTATTTTCATTATTCTAACAATACGATACCACTTACAACGTTGCTCAAGTCTCAATATCTATATGTTTGACAGCTATCACCATGCTCCAGCTGGTCTTCGGGGCAACAACGCCTATTTGATCGCAAAACCGGCATCTGCATTGTCAGCATTGCGACAAATGACATAAATTGGATCACCTACCAACTTGGATGGACTGTCCAGTCATGGACGAGTTCTGAGCTAGCATAACATATGCGTTGGCAGCGTCCTCCACCTCAGGCTAATGGTCACTCGATTAGCTAACGAGGGGCAAGTATAAAATTTCGGCCTATCTTACCAATTTCCCAAGTACCGCTTTGTTCTTGAAGGCTGCGATCTTTTCAGGAGGGAACCGTTGCCCCTGTGATTTGATTAGCCCGAGTTCTGCGCTGCTCACTCTGTCTCGGTCTGACATACCCATTCAGTGAGCAAGAGAGCAGGAACCACAGCGTTGACACGGACTTTTGAACCTTGACTCTGTGCGAGGCACTTCATAAGGTGCAAGCCTATGTTGGAATTGTGAGTCATGGTTCACTCATGGCTTTGCCTATGTGTCCTACCTGCTGCCTTTGTCACAGCGTATGGTATGCTGCTTCCGCTTGGTGTGACAGCCTAAATGGTTATGTAAGTGTCAACCTTCACAATATATATTGACCCAAGGATGGGATTTGTGGCTACCTACCGCAGTGGACGAAGTGATAATGAAGACACCGCCGTCGGGGTTTGCATTGAATGTAGGAAGTGCTTCCTTGAAGAGGTACCAACTGCTCTTGACATTCGTTGACCAGCACTGGGAAAGACTGTCAGATATTGTTCTCTATAAGAGCGGTCTTCATTACCCTGTCCCAGTCCTCATCGTCCATAGCGTCTAAATTGCCGAATGTAGTCATTTTGGTCCAACCCTTGACGGCAATTAGTCCGAGGCAATATCGTGAGAAGCATGCACTGATAGAACTCACTGCATTTGATACCACAATATCTAGACCTCCAAGCTGTTCAATCGTGGTCTTGATCGCATTGCTGCAGTCTTGACGGCGACTTGCGTCCTAGATTTGCAGGCCCCGGTCAATTGCATAGCTCAGCGAATCTATCTAGCACCCACTTGTGGATTACCACAGCAGCTGAGCATAACTTACACCTTGAACAGTGATTGCCTTGACGCCGTACTGAGTCCGTAGGCTGGACGCGAGCTCCTCCGCAACGTCTTTACTCGATAGGTAGTTGATCGCAACATTACACCCTTCAGCAGCGTACTTTTGAGCCACTAGAGCTCCCAATCCTCTGAATACTCGTCAGTGTCATTCAACAATAAGAAGCGGGAATAGCAGATGTACCGAGAGCCACCAGTGATCAGGGCATTGCGGCCTTTTAAGGAGTAGGACATGATTTCCCAAATCACTTTTCAGAGTTCGAATGTATATTTATGGAGAATGTGAAGAGAGTGTCTAAACGCTATAAGGAAGAATAACTGTCGAGACTTCAACAGTATAATGGTCGATTGACGCGGGGTAACGCATTTCACCTACGGGGAAGATATCGGTATAATTCCGATATCTGCATGGGAGCCAAATTGTGAGTTGCCTTGTTTGACGGGTTTGGGCTCAACCCTGTCTATCTCTACCTAAGTACTAGTGTCCTATTCAAGAAAGGCAGTAGGCGATCACAAGACTCGATTGACGATCTCAAGCACATCTCAACCACTGCGGGGAAGAACATACCGAGTTGAGGAGCTGCATTGGGCGCGTATAACTGACCTCGGCTCTGCTGTAAGTGTTGTGGCTGATAGACACAGCTATATTGTTTTCATTATCTCACAGTATCTGTTATAATATACATATTCTAAAAATATGGTAGATTGAACCTCAACGCCATCAGAATGCAATTAGTCTACCAGCGTACCGGCATATTCGGTCTTCCTCATGCCCCTCCAGGCCTGTTTTCCTGCCAGATCAGGCCATTGCACGAGAAATCGATCAGCAAAAGGTAACAACAGTTTTCCGCTTAGACTAAATGTTGTGACCCGTGCCCATGACTCTACATAAATGGTACGCAGCTGGAAGTGAACTGGTGCCGGCGCATCCTCTGATCTCTTCGCTTGAGATGATCTCGAGCTATCCCTGTCTTGGTGGTTCTTGATATTGAAAAGAGACTTCAGATAGTGAAACAGTCGCAAAGATTTGGCAGCCAAAACCATACAGACTGCAGTAGCCGGACCGTTGGTAAGGATAACATCCGGGTAAGGCGAGTTCGTTCTCGGAAGCGGCGACTTTTGCTCGGGATGACGGCCGCGGAGTACAAGAAAGCAAGCATAGAAACATTGAAGGGTTGAAAGAGGAGCAGTCAGGTAAGACTGGTGCACACGACGCGCGCGAGGAACCGTGACGATTGCGTAGGAATCTGCGGAGTTGCTGCCATTGGCAGGAAATGATAGCTTTGAACTTTGCTTCAGCCATTCTGTCTCAAACTCCACAGCCCTCGCAGCGCTGAAATTGTCTCCCGAGCTGACGACGTAGGTGCGGTAAGTATATGTCGAGGGGTCGAGTTTCATACGCCGCAACATAGAGAACATCTCCGCAGTATGTCCGCCGCTGCCTAGAACGACGAGAAGATGAGTTGGACTATTCTTTCGTCGCCACTTCGGAACTTTGGAGTTTTGCGATACTGATAGAGCACGAATGCAGAGCTGAAAATAGGGTCATGAGCACGCCGCAAGAAGGAGGGATTGAGAGGTGTCCTCACAAGTACTGCGATAGTGCCGCATATGGCCGCAAATAGGAGGCCATAGAGGATTAATTTGACCCACGGCAGAGCCATGGGGAGCTTATTTTCGTGAATTCAGACAAGGATTGCCAGTTGAAAGTAATATTAGCCACTGTTGTAGCTAGATCTCATCCCCAATGTAGTGCGCTTGAAGACACGGTAGTCAGAAAACGACACCTCTTTCGCTTGATTTTGTCGGCATTCTAGCCCTGGCAGACTCTCAGAACTGGAAATACACGTTAGATTAGCATTCAGTTGCAACTACCCTAGACCCAATGAGCCATTGTGTCTTGGGATGGCTGGAGTTGTCAACATCCCCATGGTGTTATATCATTGGATTGGTTGGAGACGGCACGTGGTCCGTGCAGATTTCGGTGATTATTTTCCTGTTGTTGTCTTAACTCCTGCGATAGACAAAAACACCAAGGATATCCTTTATCATCATTCCATAAATAAATTGTTTTTCAAGTGAAGTAGATGAACTAGATTCTCTTTTGGAACAATCATCATCAATGTCATCGGATCTGACATGAAATACTAAACCATGTTCTCCAAGCGACTAAGCTGCTTCTATTGTGGACATCGCTCTGCGCAGGCTGACAGAAACGTTCGCAAATGGCGCTGCAAACACTGCGAAGCGGTCAACTACCTGGATGAGGTATGTGCTTGCTTTTGTATGCCTTCGTTCTTAGTATATTCCGGGTTAACGCAGATGCCGTCATTAGAAAGGAGAGATTACCGACCCTCCCGCCGCTGAAACGAATCCTGCTGTTTACGGTCCTGGAGCCACAGACGTTCCATTTGAGTCGGTTGACCTTACAGGATCCGGCCTCTTCTGTGCTCAGTGTGTTCGCAACCAGCATCTCTTCACAAGTGCACTTGCCTCTTATTTTCCGTCGCCGGAGGATCCAAATTATAGCGCCTACGAGCGGGAATATCCCAGTTTTCGCAGGAACCTGGAGGAACGATACCCGCAAGTATGTGCAAACTGCGAACCTCGGGTGAAGGAACGGATACGTCAAGCTGGATATGAGGCGAAATCGGACCACCTTCGACGGATGATGGACAGGAGCAAAGCGGGAAGGGCAGCGAGACACGCGCGGCGGTGGAATTGGAGAAATCTACTGGTGTCAGCGGGTGCCATGGGCTACTGGGGCAGCGTTGCTGGTCAACTGTCCTGGGATACTCTGGGCGCTCTGAGCGCCGATCATCATCTGCGCGATATGTATGATGACTTATCGCCGCCGTCCATTGCGTCGTGCGCTCGTGCGACGTTACAGACACGTCAACTACCGAGTTCATGCTGGATTGATTTGTCTCCCTACGCTGGTCTAGCTCTGATTGCGGGAATCCTGTCCTTGTGGTGGAACCCGAAACTACGACTCAAGGTCGAAGGCAGAGGAGGACGCTTCGTCGGGCTGGGCGAATACTATCAGGTGCAGCTCATCGTCATGGTGGCGCGATGCGTCTTCTGGGCTGTACTTAAAGACCCTTCTTCGAGTGGACTACAACCGACATTGCCGCCGGCTCTGCATCTGTTTATGATACTCTTCACGATCCTGGTAAGTCTCCTCGTCTTCGGGGAACGAATGAATCGCACGCTGACAGAATCCCAAGTCCGTCGTTATCTCTCGGCGCGTTGTCAAGTATGACACTCGCCCACTGGTCGCATGGTCGGATAGCACGCCAACGGCGACTCCTAGTAAGAAAGCAGTTGCGTCACCCGTTGCGCAATCGAGCGCTACTACTCAGCGTTTCACCAGCCTTCGCGGAACCGACCAGCAAGCTACTCCACGCTTCCCGCTTGAGAAGCTGGCAACTCCCCGACCAGTACCGGAAACAGAGCCCATTATTCCTCCCACGCCTCCCCCAGAGGTGGACGATATGGATTGGACCCCTTCTGTACAGCACGAAATCTCGCCGACGGTTAGTGTCCGTCAGAGAGACACACCGTCTGTCCTCAACGGACCTCTACCGTTCTATGGATCACTACCTGCGGCCCCTAAACCTCCATCATGGGCCCTTCGGACTCAATCTTCGCGGCCGAAGCCTATACAGCAGGTTGTTGAACGCAACCCATTTCACCGTACACCCACTCAGTCGCCAAGTTCCTGGCAACGTAAACCCGCCGCTCAGGCAGATTCGGTCTTTGCACCTCCAAAGTTCTTTCCTACCAGTGACCATCTCGCTTCAACTGGGCTGGAGAGTTTGTTCGACCGAGCTTTTACGATCAAATCTCCTGAGGATGAGGGAAATGAGAACTGGCAGCAGCACCAGCGAGCATCGAGTGCGCATGCTCGCCAGTCTGCGGATATGCAGACACTCTTTATGTTCCAATACTTTCGGGTGGGCCTACTACTAGCATCTATTGCTGCCTGGCTTCTGTCACAGTATAACCATCTCTCAATTCCTGGCAATTATGTCGAGGTGGCGTCTCTTGGGAGTGCAAGTCTGATTGCGGGATTTGCACTGTTGGATGTCCTCAAGCAGCCCATCGCGCAATGGAACGGCATGGAGATCCTTGTTTATTTTGCCGAGCTTGTGGCGGCCGTCCACCTTGGGGGGCACCTTCCACACGTGTCGTTCGAGAGACATTATTTTGACAGATATGGGAAATTTCTATTGATCTTCATGACCGTTCAGGAAGCATTGGGGCTGTTATCTCTCTACCGTATTGCGACAACTGGCGATACTGGCTCTCAAGTGCAGCAGCCCAGCCAGTCTCCGGACGCAAGCGCCTCGGGCAGTCCATCACTCGGAAGCCATGTTCGGCCCGAGCAACCATCTTCATCATTCAGTTCTGCTGAGCCCCCTGTTCCCCCTCTTTCATTTTCTTCGACTGCTGCCGGTTCCAGCTTCGTGACGCGGTCGCCGGAGGCACAGTACCAACTAGCATTCCCGAACCAGAATCAAGGTCTCAAACGTGATCACAGCTTCACATTGAATAGTCTGAAGGACAATGAATCCGACTTCTCTGATGCCTACGATCGCGATTCAGACACCGAGACGACTGTGACGACGGCGACGACAGCCACAAGCAACACGGTCAGGAATATCCGCTACGGACGGAACCCGACCGATACATTCTTCTCACCAAGACGCTCAGAGCTTGGTCCCGGAATCGGGGGGTTAAGTCTTGATGACAAGCCCACCCGGCGAGTGACGCGCAGTCAGTCGCAGAGACTCGCCGGAAACGAGGGAATTCGTAAATACTCGATGCGCGGTTTGAAGTAACCGTCTGGACAGCTTCAATCATTTCTTCTTTTTATGCTATGACGCGCATTAGCGGCGTTGGGGTTTGCGTTCTTTTGAGATCCAGATATTTGCATTCATTAAGATATTGGGTTGTGTCACAGGTTCAATTGTTAGAAGCGTTCAAGGTCTGATTGATTGATTGATTCATTTTGCATCCACTTACCCCAGTCTGTCTTCTTGTTTCATCACTCTGCTGTGTGGGAATTTACCGCGGGTTTGTACATAACGACAGGAATATACGACTTACGACCAATGATGAACAGATATTTAAGTCCTACAAGTTCCGATGCCGTTTACTAGGGCAATTTTGAACAACACGACCATCTATCAAACAGTATACTCTGATTCATAGCAAGTTACGAGAACTCTCTCACCAGGACATTACAAGCAGAGCTATCTACTGCCTTTCAACCCTTGTCTCAACGACGGTCTCAGCCTCCTTGTCGGTCGAACTCATGGCCCGCTCAGCATCAGCCACCTTGCTATCCTGGGGGGTTGTGACGCCGAACAACTCATCCATTTTCTCGAGCGAGAGACCTATTCTCATCAGCATGAACTGTTGATTGGCCGGGGAGGGGGAGAGTTACCCTTGGTCTCAGGGATGAAGAACCATACGAACACACCCATGGAGAGACAGAAGCAGGAGAAGATGATGTACGTTCTTTGAACCGTTAGCATGGGTCTCATCTCAGGGGATTCTGGGGAGGGAGAGTGGTACCCATAACCATTCGCACCAACGGTAGCAAGCATATTGGGGACGGCGCGGGCGACGACAAAGTTGAAGAGCCACTGGGTAGCGGCAGCGAAGGAGACGTTCAGGCCTCGCAGGCGGGCGGTGGGGATCTCGGAGACGTAGATCCAGCAGACGGGCCCCCAGCCGAACTGGAAGCAGGCGGCGAAGAGGAAGATGCAGACGAGGGCGACGTAGCCGGCGGGGATGACGGGCTCGCCGGTTTTGGGGGGCGCGATGCGGACGTACAGGCCGATGTAGAGCATTGTCAGGCCCTGGGCGACGGATGTCCAGAGGAGGGAGCGGCGGCGGCCGAGGGAGTCGGCGACGAAGACGAGGAAGACGGCGCAGCCGACGACCTTGACGATGCCGTAGACGCCTGTGGCGAAGAGGCCGGTCGCGTTGCCGGTGACGCCCAGGTTCTTGAAGATCTGGGGTGCGTAGTAGTTGATTGCGTTGGTGCCGGTCATCTGCTGGCAGATCATGAGGAAGATGCTGATGAGGGCGCGCTTGCGGTTGCCCGGGATCGTCCACATCTCCCGCATGAGGTCCCAGGGGCCCGAGCCGCCGATGAGCTGGCGCTCGTGCTCGAGCTGCGCGACGATGTCCTGGAATTCGCGCTCGACGTAGGGGTGGGTGGGGGGCAGGTGGCGCACTTGGGATAGTGTGGTGCGCGCGGCTTCCCAGCGGTCCTGGCGGGCGAGCCAGCGTGGGGACTCGTTGCACAGGAGCATACCGACCAGGAGGAGGATGGCGGGGAGGGCCTGCATGGCCAGCGGCACGAGGTACATGGCCGGGCCGCTGATGTGCAGCAGGGAGCCGTAGTTGATCCAGAACGCCAGCATGATGCCCATGGTGATGAAGAGCTGGTACAGCCCGGTCAGCATGCCACGGATGGCACGAGGAGCGTTCTCCGACACGTAGAGGGGGTTGATCATCGAGGCGAAACCGACACCGAAGCCGGTGATAAGTCTGCAAAGACGGATCGTTCAGCGCATGGTCCGCACGAGTGTAACGCAGGGGCTCGGGGTCACTCACCGTCCTATGTACAGGGCTTCCAGGTGGCCACTGGCGGCAACCTGCATGATCACACCAAGGATCGACATAATCGATGCCGATATCAGACCGGGCTTTCTTCCCCAGCGATCAGCCACCTGCGAAGCGATGAGGGCTCCAAAGAAACAGCCCGCTTGCAGCGTGGACACAATGTTGGCAGACAAATTTGCCTGGTCGACTGAACTCAGATTGGTCAGGCCATATTTCCTGGTGACGGTTAGAACAAACTCGCCATGGTTATATTCTCAGCAAGGAGACGCACGCCATGAAAGGTTTCATTGTGAGGACGCCCCCAATGATACCTGTTTCCATCCCAAAAAGCATACCACCAAAGCATGCCTTACAGACTCGTCAGTCTCTGAATACGAGGGATATTGTAGGACAACTGACCGAGCAGGCAAGCATATACACCCTCCACCCATAGATTTCCTTGGGATCCTCTCGTATCGCCTCATTGTGGACGAGCTTTCTGAGGAGGGCAGACATGTTGACGACGACAGTAGGCTCGTCAGCAGAGATAAAGAATTAACAATTGAAAATTCGATATAATTTAAGACAGCTGGAACGCGTTTAAAATCCCACGCTCACCCCTGACAAAATGGTGGAAGAAGACCCCTGAAGCGAAAACTAAAGGCAATCCTAGATTAAAGAGTCCAGTGATGGCAATGATTATGTGTCTCTTTCACCCCAACAGACCTGCAGATCGACCAACCGACCCGGTAATGTATATATAACCGACGGTGTCTGATATCAGTAACTGTCACCCTGCAAACGTGTGGGTAATATGACTGGCAGCCACGGAAAAAAAGACGACGAGCGCAACGGAAACTTTCCACGAATTACAGCTGATGATGAGCAGTTCAGGTGAAGATACGTCAGACGCCGAGAAGGCTTGGAGCTCGTTGTTAGGACGGGTTGGACGGGGAAAAAAACGAAGGTCACAGGACAAGGGTGTATGTCCGTCTGGGCAAGAGAACCTATCGGTTTCGGTAGGATGATAGCGCCATGCTGTTGCTCACTTAGCCAGACAAACCGGTAGACAGGATCTTTGACCCTGTCCCTTCTGTAATGGCTGATGGTCAGCATGAGGTAAAATAACCGGGGTAAGGTAGCTTGCTCTGCGAGGACGGGGTAGTGTGGGGGCCGACAACGAATTAGATGGGATGATTGAGACTCACCAAGCTGTTTAGAGCTTGATGCCAGCCTGGGGATGGCTGGTTGATGCCCCGAGTCACGCATGGCACCTGATTCGAAAGCATCACGGATGGCCAAGGCTCGATGCGAATGGTGGAACGGCGAGGATGTGCCAAGCGGAAATGCGGAGGGGAAAGACAAAAGCAAAAGCAAGTTTGCGGGGAAGGTAGGGGCCGATCAGCATCGATTCGACTTGTTCCGGGCGAAAGGTTGCTTCTAAGCTGCTTTAGTGCAGCATGTCGGCTCACTTGGCTGAAGCTAGTGAGTGGGTGATTTAGCCAGAAACGTTCATTCATCCGGTGCTGGCAAATGGGCATCATTGATGCAGTCATGCAAAGTAATCTACACGTCTTGGTAGCTACCTGTCTTATCAAACGATTGCTGTTATTCAATTCCATTTGCGCATTCCACTCCCAGGTTAGATACATATTGTAGTGATGCAGATAGATAGTTCATGGAAGGTGGGAGTAATCCATCGCGATCCTTCGCTTGGCCTTTCAATCCTGCTGCCCCATGATCTGCTTCAGCTTGTTCGGGATGTCTGGAACCCGTTCCCATCTCGCGCGCCATTTCTCCTGCCAGTCGTCGCCGTTCCCTTCAGCTGGCAAGGCGAATACCGCCGTCGCGAACCAAGTGTCGCTCCCGGGGCTGAGCTTCGATCCTAGCGAAGGAAGCAGAGTACGACCGTAGATCAGATTCGAGTTGGCATCTGCCAGTACTATCTTGCCTTCTCGATCCACATTGGGCTGAAGCTCCACAATGCCGACGGCACCAACGGACGAGACCGTGAGCGCCCGCCGCGATTCCTTCAAGGTACCTTCGGTTGAACCTGGAGTGAACGGGCCAAGAATGCGGCCATTGTCGCTGCGACAACCGTAGATTGCAAATGCCCCTTCGTTAACCAAGAGTTCGCGCTCTGTTCTCACCCGGTGAATGCGAAGGTGCCAGTTTTCGGTCTCCTCGGTTGGAGGTATGAGCCACGTATCGACATCAACGTCCTTCCACGGCTTCCAGCCGGAGACGAGCATGGGAACACCATCAAGCCATTCAAACCGGGCATTTAGCGCCAATCTCCGAGTCTGCCAGATATCGCCCCCATCGTCAGAGAGAGCAAGCATACTATCTGGCGCGTGCTGTTCTAACTGATAGGAGCCAGTGGGAACAGAATATCCAAACGAGGCGCTGTAGGCAAACTTGCCATATTTGGCCTGGGTAGCTTTCAGGGGGTAATGGCAGGCCTGACCGGACGACAGCAGGAACCAGTGTCCACCACGATGAACCATAATGTGCTTGGGGTGTTCAAGGGCTGCGACGGCCGGAAGGGAGGCAGTTGGGTAGGGTTCCTCCTGCGCTGCCCAGAAGGGATGCGATTCCGGCAATACCAGAGGAACAAATGACAGACAGCACCAATAAGGAGATCCAGGAGAGTTATAGTTTTCCGTCAAGTACATGTTTGCGTAGGAGTATCCGAGGTTCAACGTGCCGTCACTGTTGAAGATGTCTTCCTGGGTAGCCCACCAACGGAAATGGCGCAGCAAGATACCTTTGACCACTCCCCAGGTCAATGGAGCAGGTAGCTCAACGTCCGCAAACGCCAGTGCACCCCAGAATCCGACCATGGCAAATCTGTAGGTCATCGAGCGTCCAAATGGAATAGCACTGCCTGATCCTCGTCAGCTTCGCTGGATCTCAGAATAGGAGCGGAGGACTAACCATTTGGACTGAAATAATGGACAAAGTCTTGAGCATATTGTCTTGCACGCTCACGGTATCTCTCAGCGCGGGGTTTGTCAAAATCACCAGCCAACTTGGCATACAGCAGTTGTAGAAACTGGATGGCAAAGGAGCCCGAGTAGTAATCCATCTGGTGATGGCTCTTTGGGCCATCATTACTCCAGCCTGCGTCGACATGGAATGTATCCAGATGATCCATATCTGCCTCGATACGAGCAAGCGAGTAAGGGGCGTTATTCCTCCGTAGACCTAGATTGGCAAAAAC